CAACGAAATTGGGTCCGACGAAAATACTAGGATATTTCCCTAGACTAAACTACCGCACCAAGATACAGTATCTTTTATCACCACTTAAATCATGGTTAAAGTTTAAGTTTTAGCTTAAATGGGTCACACAAGTTGCAACCTTATATCTAAAGTAAACAATTCCTTCATGAAAGCCAAGTCACATATGGATTTAACGTTTGACCAGAGTTCAGAGCATTCCAACGATTGATTAAATCTTCGGAGGTAGTCATTCATCTAATGAAGTTGTCACTATATTGTTTTTTCTTAGCTAAGGGTTGATTATTTATCGTTATCTGTTTTGTTTGATTGATTATGATGAATGTCTATACTTCATGGAAATAATGATTCTGTACATCATTTTATCTTTTTGATAAATAATATAAAATTTATTTGAATGATAGTTTATGATCTAACCTATTATCAATTAATAAATTTCAACGAAAAATGAAATTGTGAAGGTGCATTATTCTAAAGTGCTCTTGTTATCGTTTTTCTTTATCACTCTCTTTTATTTGTAAAAGTGCATAGTGCAATTTGTATGTTTTCAAAAAATTCATGATAAGATTAAGTAATTGCAAGACATTTAAAAAAAATTATGACCCCTTTTAAATAAACTCTGATTTTGACGTATAAGTAAAAAATGTTTTTTTTTATTTTATTAATATTTGTATCATATACGTTTATTGTTTAAAAACTTACTGATAATCTTTATGAAGTGCGACGAACATTCTAATTTTTTTTAAGTATTCCTTGTATATTATGTTACATACTTACGTATATTATTAAATTTAAATTTTACTTTAATAACATAATGAATATTTCCAATTAAGATAACATCAGTATACGTATCAGATTTCAAATAAAAGAAGTTATCACAATGTATGCTTTAAGAGTGTTCGAATCAAGCATGAATGCAAAAAGAACATTATCTACAGTCAACACTGTTACAAATGTATTCAACACCAAGAAATGCAACCATTTTTCAAATTGTACTGAGAGTTTCACTTCCTCTTAAAAGTTACGAATATTAAACAGTTTTTTTATTAATTTATTTATTTTACTTAGTAAAATATAGTTGAATACTAATAAATTTAATATAAAGAGTCAAAATAAAATGATCGAGTATTTTCACTTTAGTTAAACAATTTCAAAATTATTAAACCATGCATTTTTTAAAGTCACTGTTTTTTGAGAAAAGTAAACTTATAAAAATGGAGCATTTATTGAAATTGGGGAAAACAATAATCAGGCTACAACATCATCATCGTTTCCAATCAGACAACAAACATGCATCCTTACACATAACATCTCAGAACTCAAGTACAATCTTGTACTCAAATAAAATGAAACATATAGTGAACAAGAAAGAAAACTGATTCACTCTTACAAACACTCTTGTCCTATTATCCGTGAGAAGAGATAGTCAGTGTCCATGTCCTAGAAATACTCTTAGTGTATATTCATAACATCAAAAAGGTTATACGCTTTTTTATTTACATCTTATGTCTGCAGCATTTGTTATTTTTAACTTAATTACTAAATGGCAAGCTTAAGCTCAGTATAAATCTCTAACTGTGCAGCAAAACACACCATACAGTGAATATTCTCTGAAAAAGTATATCTAACTTTAATTTTTTTTCAAAGAATCACTGTGATAATATAAGTGAATATTTCTTACAGGGTAATATCCACAACTTTACCAATGTACGGCCAGCAGCTTAGCGCAATGTGTAAGAGACTGGAAAACACTTTAATATATAAAAAGTACCAGGAGTTCACTCAAAACTAGCGTTAATGATAATTATTTTTGTTCCCACAATTACAGTGATAGGTTTTCGAATATTTCTACTACTTTTACATACTTTCTTTTACGAAAACGTATTGCTCTCTATAAATTTATTGCCATGGAGTTGGAACGATATATGAATATGCAAAAACTAAGCTAAATTAAGATTAAGTAAATAGTTTTTACATTGATGACCCGAATATACATTTTAGTTCTTCTGGATACCATAGAACAACGAGAAGAAAGAAGAAACTCATGTGATTTGTATGTCCCTATTGTTAAACCAATCGCACTAAAAATGCTTCTTGAATTATCATCTCATGTCTTTTAATGCAAAAATTACGCGTTTTAATTGCTGTCATTGTATTTATAAGAGATAATAAATCTTAGTACTATTTTTGAGCGTATATCTAATAGTACATTAAGATTAAATTACCTTCCTCATTCTAAAGCTGTTTGCTCACCAGGGGCGATATTTATGCCAAGTAGTTCTACTATCCCCCGTATATAGGAACCAATGAATACAGTTCTTAGAATATATTTCTTAAAAAGACTAAATTTATTTTTATTTTTTAAAGTAATGTGTGTATTTGGGAGTAAAGAAGAAAGAAAACCTTAGAGAAAAGTTTTGATAATAGAGTAAATTTAGTTAGGTCTTTCCATAGCTTCTCTTCAATTAATTATAAACTTTTGCACAATCGTGTGTCGTTTTAAAAATGATAAGCAGTATAGACAGAAACAGTTATAGACAGAACAGTGAAGATGTAAACAGTTTCAGATTAAATATTTCTTTTACGCAAATTAATATTTTAGTAGCGTTAATATGTCCAGTACTTTATAAGGATTTGAATGCTTGCATTTATCTATAGAATTATCAGATATATAAAATGACACTTTTACTTTAGTTACATACTAATCACTTTAAACTGACAATCCATAATAATATGACATACATCTAAGACTTGCTTAATGTTTAAGAAGCTTACTATCTTTGCTTACTTTCTTGCACTTGTAGGAAAGGTACTCCATTTATTTACTATAAAAAACAAGTCTTTATTTCAAATTTTGAAGCAAGCTAAGCATGGAGATCGAAACATTGAATATATTATCAAGATTTCAATAGAAAATGAAAATGTAAGGAAAAAGTTAAGATCTTATAAGTTTGAAACTCAAATATCAAATGGTAACATAACAAAATGTTAATTGCAATTTAAAATAGTTAAGTAATATTTTTTAAAAAAGTAATGAATAAATAAACAACATATTATTTTTTGAAATTTAAATAAGCTTTCTGTGAATAATTTTTAAATCACTTTTCATCACAGAATTCGGAAGATGCATACGGCGTTATGCATAATTAAAAAGGAAAAAATAATATTTTCGCAACTTAAATGCATCAAAATTTAAGACCAACTTCTACTATACAATCAAGAGCTTTAAAAAGTTAATCAAAATTCAACATAATCTGAATCTTCTGTCATTCTGTATATTTTAAGAACGATGGCAATCCTAAAACTTCAATCCATATTTGAGTTAAAACGATATAAGTTTAAATTTGAACTTTCTTTCAAATATATTAACCAAAATTTTTAACTTTAACAAATTTTCAATGTTTTGATCAATATTAAAATATTCAAAACAATTTCGAATAATAACAACGAATAATTGCTGACTACGATCAATATTTACGAAGATTAACTGGCAAACCGATAAAACTCTGTTGGCGGATGATTTTCTTGGCTAAAAATTCGATTGAACAGACCGCCGGGCATGTTCTTTAGACTTGAATTCCATTAACTACATGTGGAATGTATAGAGAAGATGAATTGCCTGTGGATTTGTAGCTTCAAGAAATGTACAAGAATCGTTAACTGTTCTTCTGCTGAGGTAACAGGAAATTCTCGGAGGACTCATTAATATCCTCTTAGAGACCTTGCCAAAGAAGTGCACAACATTGTTTACTGTCAGATATCAAATGGATCATCAATCAAGAAATGAATACCAAAGGCTTGAAGAGTTAGTGAAGCTCATTAATAATGTTTCGACTCCATACTATTTTAGACTGTTTTCAACAGTTAAATATTTGGATATAAAAAGTTTTTAGTATCTGAAGAAAGTAATGGAATTATTTATGTGTGTTCCTGAGAAATTTTGCAGTTGAAAATGTATTTTGTATAACATCCATAAATAATTCTGGAATTTTTAAGAGTGTAATAAAATGTTTAAACATGTTTTGAGTAGACAAAATAAGTATTGAGTAAAATAATTTAGTTAATAATATTTATACGACTATTAAAAAGTATAGTTATGAAATTTTTTTTATTTACTCTAAAAGCTTTTAAACGGATGTTAAAATTCTCAAAATTTTTAAATTTGTTCACACAAAATAAGTATTGGTTAAAAAAAGTCAATTGGTTACATTTATATGACTATCAGTAATTTAAATTTAGTTAATAAAAATAATAGGATTGATTCCTGTAAGAGATAATTCTTATTTTTGAATTCGAAATAAAAAAAAACACACATAATTTATTGTTTAGTATAGAAAATAGATACTTTTTATTTGTAATGGTGACTCCAGTAACTCAAATTATCCATACGTATGGAATTTGGAATATTCTATGATTAAAATTATTGTTAACCTTTAGTTTGAAAAAATTCTTAAATGCATGATTAATAATATTACATGTCAAAATTAATCGGAAACATTGAGTCGTATTATCAAGCAACTTTGTCTCCAAATTTTCTGTACTATATTGATGTGGATACTTGGATATATACTTGAATGATATTTTCATGCCAGATATTTCTAAGAAAACAATCAATTACTTCAGATATAATGATTTTAAAGCTAGCTTATTGTGATAATGATTATAAGCGTTATTAAGAGAGAAAAACGTATTGGTTTTATATACTGTGCATGGATCACATAACTAATATGGATTACATTACTAATATTGTATGTAGTCTTGTATTTGGAACTGCATAAAACATTCCTTATAGTTTCTTGAAATAAATAATGTTTACTTTATTTTTTGTTTAATTTTTCTTACATTAATACCTTCTGCAGAGAATTGCATTAAATCTGTCAAACGTTTGGTAAAAATTCTAAACTGACAAAGTAGATAATCAAATTGTACAAGATTATTTTGTTAAACAGGTTTTATATTTTTCATTCTTTTTTTATTTTCAGGAAAGTATAAAATAACTTCTGATGGCTCTTTGGTGATAGAAAAAGTTGATTTTTCAGATGGAAAGAAAAAGTACAGGTGTATATGCAAAGATGAAATGAATAATGAGTCGACATCTAGTACACCATGGGGACAGCTGATAGTAACTGGTAAACTAATAATTTTGTACATGACTTAACAGAGTCGAGTATTTTTTATCTTTTGGCATACATCAGTAACTGTTGTTTGACGTACAATATCTGAATTGAAAAAAAAATCTTTATAATCTTAAGATTTATAGACATTTTAAACATATTTTTGATTCTATTTAGATGTTCCCACTTAGTATATGTTAATTTTTGCCATGTACAACATTTTAATTAACAAAAAAGTGCGCAAAAACTTACTTTTCATGAATTAACATAATTTTTCTACGAATTTGAAAAAAGCAGTTTAACTAAAGTGGTAATTAAAAGTTAGTACCTGTTAGGGGAAAGGTAGGGCTATTTTTTTTTCTTATTGTATTCGTCGATCTCTAAAATTATTTATGTGGGCGATGAGCAATTTGCATTTAGATTCAAATTTTCTTAAAATAACGACAATCAATCATTTTTAAAAATTATTTTTGTTTAAATATTAGTTACTCCTTACTATGTATTAGCCATTAATAGGTTGGTTTATAGGTTATATTTTTATAGGTTAGCTTTCGAAATGAAATACTTTTTTACAATATTAAATTTTAGCACAAAAAAAGCAAACTTTTCCTGCAAATATTTCAAATACTACGCCAATATTATTTATGAAAACGAAATTACCAAAGTAACTACGGCGTTTATTTTAATTTTAGAGAACGTTAGTAAAAATTTTTTTTTCAAAAATTGATTCTAAAAAGTTTTTACCCTTTTCACAATTAATAAGCTAACCCTTTTGATAACTTAAGGCATTCTATTTAATTACTTTAAATAACTCAGGGTGTCTACGGAAACATTCAAGCTTACCATGATTAGCATGAGTACTACTCCATTTAATTTACTGTGGAATTTCATAATAGTGACTTTGGCTTCTTAATCATTAATTGATTACTATTCGCACATCCATTTATTTTGATATAGGGCATTTAATTCGACAATGTTAATTACTAATTAATTAGATTATGTTAATTACTAATTAATTAAATTATGTTAATTACTGATTAATTAGATTGTGTTAATTACTAATTAATTAGATTATCTTAATTACTAATTTTAAATCTAGTGTGTGCAACAGCGTAAATATTTGTGCTAAAAATCATTTGACGGTTGTTTTAAGAAAAACAGAAATTATTTCATTACTTTAAAAATTATTTTAAGTAAAACAAAAGATGTTTTATGATTAAAACAAAGCATTAGAAATGAAAATTTTCTGATTATTGTACTTGTTTCCAAAATGTCTAAATTAATATTTCCAGAGCCAACAACACTTTTGGTTCCACGCATTCGATCAGGAAGCAAAGAACACCAATACAAAGTCGGTGAAATGGTAGAATTATTCTGTATTGCTCAAGGTTATCCAGTCCCAACTTACTCTTGGTACAAACAAGATGGCACACGGTTAACTCAATTAATATCCAACAGACGATTGCAAGTTTTACGATCAACCGTCCAAATCCACAAAGCTTCAATTGTAGATAGCGCAACATATATTTGTGTTGCAAATAACAGTGCCGGAGAAGACAGAGTTCACCTGCAGCTTGTAGTAACAGGTAAGGAATATGAATATGCTATTGTAACCCTATCAGGGGTGAAATTTCCAAATTCAATTTCGAGACACTAAAATTGTAAATATATTTGCTTATAATTTTTCACACTTTCTTAACAACCTTTATGTTTCAAAAAAGTATTTTTGTACAGTATCTTTGATCAAAAGGTTAAAGCAAATTAACTCTAAAAATTATCTTATTTAACTTTATATTTGATTTATTTATAAAATTTGGATTGAAGTAATACTTAAACATTTGTTTTTCAATAATTTTTTTGCTGCAATTCTAAACATAGATAATAATTTCTCATTTTTATATACCTACTATACATAGGAATAATTATAAAAATAAAATTACTAAAAATGTTTTTAAAAAATCAAGTTTTTGTTTTTGTATTTTTCCTCATTATGTTACACAAATAATAACTTAATAAAATTCTTGAACTCATTTCCGCTATGTTTTGAAACAAAATTAAAATTGATATTTAAATCATGAATGAAAATTATTTAATGAATTTTGGAGCAGATTAATATATAGTTATTTGCAAATTTTCAACTAAATTTTATCACTATTGAAAGTGATTCCAATTAAATAATAATATTGTTACAATTTAAGAATTTTAACCTATTGATTCTAAAGATAAAAGTACAAGTCAATAATATTTTATCATAAAAGTCAATATTAATTTTATAATTCTTAAATACTTTTAAAAAAATGACACTTAAAAACATTTTAAAAAAATAAAATTTAGGAAATATATAAGTTATAGCAAAAAAGACTCATATACTGAATATAATTGAATTAGATAAACTTAAATGCTACAAATTATTGAAATTAAATTAATTTTTTTGGTTCAAATAGTTATTATAATATTAATATTTCCAAGGAAAGATATTGTAAGAAAACTTCATTAAGTTCAAGTCGTTTTATACTTTTTAAGTAGATTATTCGATTCAATAATGCATTTTAGGAACTAAAAAAAAAGGATCTAAAATAGACAATGAATAAATACTTAACTAAAAATTACATAAAATTTGGAAAAGAAAAACATCGAAGAATTTTTGATGCTTCCTGATATACAATTGCTGATATTGATATCCCAATCTCTACGGTTTTATGAAGCTAGAAAATTTAAATATTGCTGTAAATTTTTCAATAAGTATGTCGCTCTAAATCAAAAAAAAAAATTTCTCACAAAATTTTTAATTATCTAAAATAAAAAAAAGATATTTTGCGATAATATAAAACATATAATGTAGGAAAGAGATAAGTTGTATTAAAAAAATAAAATGTTTTGATAATGTTTAATTTTTTTAGCATTAATCGCGATAAAATATTGCAAATTAACATTTTCATGTTCAAAAAGTAATAAGAATATTGATGTATCTTGAAAAAATAGTTTATAAGAAAAATGTTAGTAATTAAATAAACGCATAATGAGAAAACGTAATTACTCATTTTAAACATTATAACCCTTAACTTCAGGCAAGGAATTTTTAATTAACAATATTGAACCAAAAGGAATTTGATTTTTCTCACTTTAGGAACATATTAAAAAAAACTACTTATTTGGTAAGAATAAATTAACTAATTTATTATTTAATGCAAACGGTTTATTTCTTTTAAATGTACTACGGGGCAAAATCCGTTAATTCCTTGGCAATCATTTATAAAAGACATCCATTTCTAGAAAAAGAAGAAAAAAAATATTAAAATAATATATTAAATGCATGAATTAAACGCAAGACATAGTCATTAAGGGGGATGTTTTTAAAATATATAAAAAAGCTTTGTGAACGAAAAAAATGAACCTTCAATATTTCATCTTTATGGAAGATATTTTTTTTTTCGTTTCTCTTTAAGTAAACACTGTACCTGTGTTCCCCATTATGTTCTTAAAGAAAGTAATAAAATTTAAGACAAATGAAAACGCTCCCTGTGTAGCTATTTGCATATCGCTCGATGACATGTATCTCGAAATGCATGGAATCTTCTTTTTTTTTATCATTTTATCATTTTGTTTTATCCCAAAATGAATACGATAAGGTTTGAGGCGTTTCTTCTCTTTTTTGTCTAATTTTTTTTTCTACACTGTCATTACCAATATCTCAATCTTCGTTGGCTTTGGAGTTGATATAGTATCGATTGCCTCTAGGCACTTAAGTTTTCTTTCTTTTTTTATCATTTACTTTTCTTCTTTGAGTCCAAATAAGGCAACAATAGGACGAGTCAAATGTTTTTAACGAAGAAGTTTTTTTTTATTTATTTAAAATTCTAAGGCACTTAACTCTCAACTTTAAAAATAATTAGGCTTCTTAATTTGTTTTTATAAATAAAGAATATTTGTTTATTTTATTTGTCTCGTTAATTTCTGACAATAAACACACAGACGCAATGTATGTTTGATCAAACTAAAACTATTTATTAGTAATNCTGATGAGAGTAGTGGCTGTCTTCCTATCGATGTCAAGATTAGTTATTTGATCGTGGGCTTTGGAAGAAGTTTTTTTTTTATTTATTTAAAATTCTAAGGCACTTAACTCTCAATTTCAAAAATAATTAGGCTTCTTAATTTGTTTTTATAAATAAAGAATATTTGTTTATTTTATTTGTCTCGTTAATTTCTGACAATAAACACACAGACGCAATGTATGTTTGATCAAACTAAAACTATTTATTAGTAATTAGCACAAGTCATAGATAGCACCATTTAAATCCGTTGCAACTGTTAAAGTTTAAAATTTGTTGAATTTTTACTTCGCAAATGTAAAAATAAATTAAAACATTTAAGTAATAACATGGTGTGTAACGTTTTTGAAAAGTGCTTGAAGGTGCCTATTATCGATTTTATTTTTTAAAAGCGCTTAAAAGTGCTTTTTTAATGAGTATTTTTAAAAATTTTCCCTTTTCGAAAATGAGATTTTTTTTCTTTACCATGCCGATTTTCGACATGTATTATTCAAAAGCGGGCTTTTCCGATTGTTTTTTCAACGTTTTCACAATAAATTCAACCACAATCCTTTTCGGCGTCCCGTCGGTCCGTAGCGCATGAAAGCGCCAATCATGTTTAATGAAATACTTGTGGGTTCGTATGTGAATATACTGAGCTAGCCTAAGTGAGATTCTTGTACTTTAATTTACAACTCTGCTGCATTTTGCAAGATACTCTCGATTTCAGGCTTCATTTTCCACCCTCAGATACCTCTTGATCTTTTTATAACGGTTAATATAATCAAGATAAGAGTTCTCTGTCATAAACTGGTTATTTTACCATGATCATGTAAAGTCTTTGAAAATTATATTGAATTTTGCTAATTTATGTAGTGGTTAAAATATTTTTTGATTGCTTAAAAAGTACTTACTACTAAGTACTTAGTACTTAGTAAAAGTACTTAGTACTAAGGTGTGTGATGCCACTTCTTTGAAATGAACGCAGGTAAGCAAATATTAATGCACTGCATCATCATCAAAAGCGATATGTATTTGACTATCAGAATCAAATCTTATATTCTTTCTGAGTGAAAAAAGTTTCTTTTTTTTTCTTCAATTTCTCAGTCGAAATAATGTTGTTAATTTTGATGTAATTCGTATGCTTTAGCTTAATTTCAGACTGGATACACTGCTTTTTTTTAAAGAAAAAACTAAAAAGTGTTTGCTTTGTAAAATGAGAAAACTTTTTGATAATTTGTTGTTTACGAAATTAAATGAGATTTCTTTTCATAAAATTCCATCTGCTATAGAAAAAAATGTAACGTATAACTCATTGAATGCATGCAAAATATTGATTATATCGGCAGTTTTAAAAAGCGTTTTGCTCAAATAAGTAAAAACTTTTAAAAAACGAACAAAAAACATTTTTTTTTGTAAATTTCCTTGGCATTTCCTTTTAACATTCTATAATCTCAAGCTCAACGGCAAATGAATGAGTGGATAATTTTTACTTTTTATGGCTATATGGACTTTTTCTTATAAGACTACATAAATAAGTAACACAAATTACGTAAATAAGCCATTTTATTTGAAATGAATGCAGATAAGCAACTATTTCTGTACTTCATCATCATCAAATGCAATTTGTGTACTGCATCATTATCAAATACAATTTGTGTTGGACTTTTTCAAATTAAATCTTATAATGCTTTCCTGAGTAAACAACACATTTTTCTTAATTTTAAAATGGATATATAAGTTTCAATTGAGCGCAATTCGTATGCTTTAACACATTTTCTTTTATCTTAATTTTAACCTGGAAAGGCTGCTTTCTTCTTCTTTGTTGAAGAAAAAAATAAGGGATTCGCTTTTTAAAACGGGAAAATAATTACACAATTTGTTGTTGCTCGCGTAACGAAAGAGATTTCTTTTCATGAAACTCCTTGCGCTGTGGAAATAAATAGAATAATTATAATAAAGTTTTTCATTGATATCATGTAAAATATTGATTATTACAGCAATTTTAAGAAAAGGTTTGTTCTAATGGCGTGACTACAGAAAACTCAAAAACCTTTTTTTGTGAAATTTCGTTGGTATTTTCCTTCATCCAGCTTTCTATTTTTTCAAGCTCAACGGAGAGTAATGAATGGTTGAAGAATTTTTACGGCCGTATAGAATTTTCTTGCATACATTTTCTATTCGAGGTAAGAAATTTTCAAGAGCATTAAACTAGAGACGACTACTGAAATTCTTTTACGGTTTTCTACACTTCTCCACACAGTTACCCAGATCACCATTATCTAGGCATATCGTTTGTTTTTACTGATACTTTTTTTTATGATTGTTCCTCTTTTCAGCTTTTTGTGGTAATGGAAACTGGAAAAAAAGGTAATAGAAAGGAAGGTATTTACGGTCTCCAATATAAATGTCGAGACATAAATATACTGCAATACACAAAAGTTTGAAATATTTATTGATTACTATTTCTTTGAAGGTAAATGTTCTGCTATACATTGAATTTAAAATGAAGAATGGTTTGAAGCAAAGTTTGAACAAGGAAACACTCTGAAAAA